TCCCGAGAAGAGCATTTCCTTGTACGAACGAAAGATGACATTCGTGAAAAAAGTTCAATAGCTAAGAAGCAAGAACAGGCAACAACATTTTCATTGCCTCACATTATCAATGTGGGAAACGTTCATTCACCGGGTGAGCCTTACAAGGTGGAGCAGTCGTCACATGAGGGACGATCGCAGGTTGTGATCAGAACATGTAACAAAAAGAAAACTACGAGATGAAGGCGCGAGTTCACTTCATTCAATATTACGTCGCACAGGAAAGGACTGCACAAAATGGTGCAGCGAGGGGTTGATTGGGCAAGTGTGGATAAGGCTGGTCTTCTTATTGTGTTCTTGTCTTCTCACCATTGCCAGTCTGTCGTGCATTCCGCTAATTTGGGCGACCTATCACCGTGGAAGCGCTTCGCATCTACAACTCTGTATTCCAGCTCCTCCTCATATGGCCTGGAGTCAGCAGCACTCACCCAGCTTTTCAAAAGCTCCTTTAGTGTCTTCTCACAGGCGTGACTTTAGGGAGCGCTGCGAGAGAGTTACCACCCACAAAAAGGGTGTTGTCGACTGCGCCTGTTGGAGATGTGTCCTAAACATAAACCCTAAACCCTAAACCCTAACCCGAAACCCTAAACCCCAAACCCTAAACCCTCAACCCTAAACCCAAAACCCTGTGCATTGACGCAGGAGGCGCAGACCTATCGCTTGGTGCGCGGCGAGGTGGCCAAGCTCTGGCCCAGCAAAAGGTGCGACCTTGAGCGGTTTAGGGTTTAGGGTTTAGGGTTTAGGGTTTCCTTACATCTTAGGAGCGTCGCTGACTGTACCAATCGGTTGTGGCCAAAGGTGTACAGTGTACGTAAACGGGGGGTGTAGCAACGACTTTCCGAGATTTTACCCAGCCGACCTCTGGTTGCAGCAGTTCGCCTTTGCAGCTCCATGTGGAAGGTACGACCTCATCCACTGCAATTGCATTCACTTCTGTGAGGCCTGTTGCTTTCGCCTACCGCCAAAAAAAGAATCAAGAATCAACACCCGCCTGCCAAAGCTTCTTCAACGCGGGGAAGAGCTGAGGCAACACGGCGATACCTAGAATAGTACCTGACTAATCAGTGGCAGTAGTTGCCTACTACTTCATAAATGAGCTGAGAGTGATGATGCTCGAGCAGGACCTGGCCCAGCGTCTGGGAGCAAAGCCGGTACCTGGGTGGGTGTGGTCTCCCAGACTTCGTGTCTTATTTTGTAATTATTCATTTTTTCTTTTCATCTTTGTGTGGGCCACCTGTCTTAGCTTTGAACAGGCTTGCTCCTTTGCATTTTGGGTGCTAAAGAGAGCTCTGCAGAAGGGGTTGTGCTTTGCGAGGGGTATTGAGGGGTACTACAAGTACAGTTGCCTAGCGGACCAGTGTGTTATCTTACTAGAGAGGGGGTTGCTGAGGCTTGTTGCTTGGAGTTTGGTGTGCTTGAGCTCAGAGTCAATAAGGTAAAGGTCGGTCGCCTGTCTCCAACAATGCAAAACCCTTCCCCTACCCCCCGAAAAACCAACACAAGCTTACCTTGCACTATTTTGGTTTCCTCTTTGAGGTGCGAGGCCTGCATGAAACTGGAGGCCTGTGGCGCTGTTCTCTGGGATTTATCGGGTTTTCGGCCGAATTCGGAAACCACATGGACTAGCAAGCAAACGGGTTGTAGCCTTCCGGGCAAAGCATTGCAAGTCCGCGCTTGTACACGGATGCCAAGCATCCCAGAATCTTCTCCATCTTCTTCCTGTCTCACGCTCGTATAAGCCCTTTCTGTCTACATATTGTATTATATTTCATTATATTATATGATGTTGGATTATATAATATTCTATTTGAAGTAAATGTAATTGTAAACGCCTGCGCGCGCCGCCTCGGCAGCCGGGCCGGCCCCAGGACAGGAAAGGAGGAAAGAGGGCTTCGCAAAAAAAGGGAGGAAGGGCAGAGGGGGGGTCGGGGGGGGGGTCGGGGGGGGGTGGGGGGGGGGTGGGGGGGTGGGGGGTGGCCCCCCCGTAGGAGCCACCAACGAAGCGGCATCGGTTTGCAGCTCCTCCAAGGATTGGGGGGGGGGTCCCACAGAGCGGGGGGGGGGGGGGGGTGGCGTCACAGAAAATTTGGCATGGGGGGAAGGGTTGGGTTAGGGGGAAGGAGGCCTTGATCCGGGTCTGCTTGTTCCAGACGCTTCTCGGCAGGAAGCCGAGGCGAATTAAAGTAAAGTAAAGTAAGCTAAATTAAATTAAATGAAACTAAATTAAACTGTATTGAGTAGCAGCCCCCCAAACTCTGCTCCTGTGGCAGCTGCCGCCGCCTCGCTGGTCCGTGCTGCCTCGGCGATGGGGCGGCTGCTGGGCTTCGGGCACGCGGCTCAGGGACCTGGGAGGGCAGGCCGATGAAGACTTTTGAGTGCTTCGGGAATCTTTGGGAGCTCCACGAAGGCTTGTGATTTTCGTAGTCTCTTGGGGTTTCCGGCACCTGTTTGCATGTCCACAGGCTTCCATCACAGCTCCGAGTTCGAACCAGCAAGCCCTTTGCAGTTCCCGACGGCCAAGGAGAGACCGTCGGCAGGGCGGAGAGCCTCAGGCCTGCTCGAGAGTATTCAAAAGCATCATTTCATGGAACATCACCTAAATTCCCACCATTTGGAGATGCAACTCGGCCTGCAGCCCGTTGCCTCTTCTCTTCATGCAAGTCCTTGAAGGTGCATACAAGCTGCAAATGCCATGTTCAGATGGCTTCGGTTGACTGACTGACATTTGGCAGGGACAGCTGCCCGATGAAACGCAGGCCAGACATAGACTTTCATGCGGGGCCCGATCCTACGGTCCTGCCGTTGCTTGTCACCGAGAGGCCACAGAGCCTGGCGTTTGACGTGTGCATTCGCCCAAGGCGCGTGCTTTCACGGTCTCAAAAGTTCTCAATAGGCTCCAGACTTACACACAACCGATGCTGGATGCCAAGGCACGCGGCTGAATCTTGTATACATATGTGTGCTTGCTTTGCCATGCTTCATCCATGGACTTTGGGGACTCGGTTGCAGGTGAATTTGCAGACGGGCAGCCTCCGCGTGACGAGAGAAAGCCCGGAGAAAGTTTTTCTGCAACGAAGCTTTAGGCTGGCAAGGTTTGAGGATGTTAGTGCTTTGCATAGTGTGTAGTAAATAGTTCGTTATAGCACTCAAAAGCAGTGTCGAAGTTTGGCAGGATGTGATCGCCGCCTCACTCTCAAGCCTTGCTTCCTCGCTCCTGTCCGCCATCCAACCTTTCGACTTGCTCAGCTGCAGCTTTGACTGCCAAGCATTCGTTCCACGCCAGGTTTTTCCATACGCGCATCATCAACACAAGACACCACAACTGTTTAGTTGTGCGCGCTTCGCACGTCCGCCTGGGCCGTTGGTCAGCGTTGTCCTGCCCGCACTGTGCGGACTCGTCTGCATGGCTGCAAACTTACTGGGTAGCTTCCCCGAAGCAATTTCCACATCCGGACGCCCAGAAAGGCAGGTAGATGCGTCGCGAGCACAGGCCAGTTGAAGAGCCAGGAAATCTTGTCACGCGTGAGGGCGAGACAGGGCAGTGAAGTTGGGGTGCTGCCCCAGCTGCTTCCGGGTCTTGCTGGAGGAGGAAGAGGCCTTTGCTACTCGTGCGAAGCCGAGGTCGTGAAGCACGATTGTCGCCTGGTCGAGGTCAGCCTGTCCGTGCCCTCCGCGCCTCCGGCGTCGCACCAGACCACAGTGCCCCTTCCCAAACGCTGGATCGCTTGTGGTTGCTTGGTCCTGTACAAGTTTGACGTACCAGGGGTATGAACAACCATTGACTGCCAAGCAATCGAAGAGCAAGCGACTTGGCCTGGTGCACGTGTTCGCGCCTGACCAGCCCGATTGGCAGTTCCTGAAGCTACCTGGTGAGCGGATGACGCCTCGCTCCTGGCCGTGTGGCAGGTCCGTAGCGCCTTACCGAAGTCCATACTGCATAGGGAGCCCCATATAGGGTCCATTGAGAGTCCATATGTGCTTGGCTCAAAACCAAACCTTTTGTGGGATTGCCCCGAAACCCCAGGAGGTTTTGCAAAGCGGCGGGCGGAGGCGAGGGGACCATGGGCCTCTCAGCGAGCACCAAGCGGGCAGGGGGAATGAACGAGGTGGGTTGTTCTTTTACCCTGAATGCCTCAGGCCTGGGGCCTCAGCGGACTATACCCTCCACAGAACAAGGTTGCACATCTCAAAAATTTCTTTGCTGCAATGTAGTTGGACTTTTCAAATAGCGGCCAAGGTCCCCGCCATGTCTTTCTTTGGGCAGATCACGGAGGCCCTGACCCTTTGCAGCCAGCCGCCGGTGCGGCCCGTCCGCACGGCGGCAGACCCGCCGATGGAGCCCAAGGAAGCCCTCGGCCTTCTCAAGGCGCACGTTTAGCATAAGCAGCGCCGAGGAAGCACTCTGCATGACAAGAGAACAGTAATTCAATGCAACATGCCCGTTTTCGAGCCGCAGGACGGCAACCGGCGCTTCGTGGACGGGCGACCGCTGGCCAACCGCACAAACGCCGTGGTGCGCAAAGAGCTGGTGGAGCTTGGTCAGGCTCCCCACACGGCCATCATCGGCTGCGCCGACTCGCGTGCACCGCTGGAGACCATCTTTGACACGATGCCAGGCACGGTTGCTCCGGTCTTTCTGTTCCGAGCCTTTCTGTACTGTCTCTTGTGCCTCGGGCGGGCTTCGCTTGTGAGTGCTAGTCCTAGGTGACATCTTCGTGCTGCGCAACGCCGGCAACACCTGCACGCACGCGGAGGGGAGCATGATCGGCAGCCTCGAGTTCTGCACTGGCAAGTTGGGAAGCCGACTGGTGCTGGTCCTTGGCCACACGAAGTGCGGCGCCGTCTATGGTGCGACGAAGACTTTCCTGGATGCCCAGGGAGTTCCCAACAAGAAGGCTGGCTCCGCGCTGCAGGGGCTTCTGCAGGACCTTGGAGCGGTTGCCCAGCAAGCCCAGCAAGAAATGGGCCCCGATGCTGACGCAGATGCCATCGCGGCCCATGCCGTGAGGGTCAACGTGTTCCACACCATCAACTTTCTGCTCCAGTTCAGTGAGTCGATTCGTGAGGGCGTGAGCAGCGGCCAGATCCAGATCCATGGTGGCATCTATCACCTTGAGACAGGCAGCGTGGAGTTCTTGGGCGAAAGCCCTCAACAGTCCGAGCTGCTCCAGTCCAGCCTGCCCGTCCCGCCTTCTATGGTGGGCAGCAGCGAGGCTGACCGCGGCACGCATGGGGTGCGCACCGGGGCCGACGTCGCCATCAAGTCCGAGCAAGCGCTGAAGCTGCTCATCGAGGGCAACCAGCGCTTCGCCGCAGGTGCGCCCACGGCGGTGACCACGTCCAAGGACATGCGCCGGGCCTTGGTGAAGTGCGGCCAGGCCCCCCACAGCGCCATCGTAGGCTGCGCGGACTCGCGAGTCCCTGTGGACACAGTTTTCGATTCGATGCCTGGAGACCTCTTTGTGCTGCGCAATGCTGGCAACACCTGCACACATGCCGAGGGTAGCATCGTCGGCAGCCTGGAGTTCTGCACTGGCAAACTGGGTACTCAACTGGTCTTGGTGCTTGGGCACACACAGTGCGGTGCCGTGGCTGGAGCGACACAAACCTACCTGTCCGGTGCCACGTCCAAAGCACCAGGCAGTGCTCTCGAAGGCCTCTTGCAGGGCCTGGCCGGGGTCGCGCAGAAGGCCAGCGAGGACTTAGGTCCGAAAGCCGAGGAGGCGGCCGTTGTGGCCCATGCCGTGAAGGTGAACGTCTTCAACTCCGTGAACTTCCTCCTGAAGTTCTCTGAGCCTCTGCGAGAGCTGGTGCGCAAAGGAGACTTGGACATCCAGGGTGGCATCTACCACCTCGAGACGGGCAAGGTGGAGTTCCTTGGCCGTTCTCCTCAGCATGCAGAGCTGCTCTCCTCCAAGCGCTCCGTGCCGCCTTCCATCACCACCGGTGCTGTCCGCACCTCCAAGAGCGGCCCCGTGCTACCATCGGATGCCCTGGCCATGCTCCGGGACGGCAATGAGCGCTTCGCTGTGGGCGCCCCCGTCGCTGGCAAGGTGTACCAGAGCATGCGCGAGGCCCTGGCCACTGTTGGTCAGGCACCCCACACGGCAGTGGTCGGCTGCGCCGACTCGCGCGTGCCCCTTGAGACCGTCTTCGATGCGCTGCCTGGGGACCTCTTCGTGCTGCGCAACGCTGGAAACACCTGCACCCATGCGGAGGGGAGCCTGCTCGGCAGCTTGGAGTTCTGCACGGGCGCGCTGAACACCCGCCTGATCTTCGTTCTGGGACACACGAACTGCGGTGCGATCAAGGGTGCCACCAGTGCGTTCCTGCAGTCCAAGAAGCAGGGTGGGGCGAAGGACCTGCAGGGTAAGTTGGAGGGCCTTAGAAGAGGTGCGATTGTAGGATATTGTAGGGATGTTTTGGATTGTTTTGGTGCGTGGTAAAACAGTTCGCTGATGTTCGCTGCGAGCGGAATGGTTCATGCTCGCTGGTGCGGTTTGCAAGGGCGGAAACGCTCTGGATGCGCTGCTCCTGGGCCTCAGCACCGTGGCTGAGACCGCCGCCGCCGAGCTGGGACGCAAGGCGGGGCACGGAGTGGGCTTTACCGTAGCAGTGGAATCAATAAGTTTTCACTGCAATCTCCAGCCAACTGGAAGCCTTCATGAGCCCGGCTCAGGCCAGCGAAGATGACATTGCCCGGCATGCTGTGAAGCTGAACGTATTCCACACCATCAACTTCATGCTGCAGCAGCTTGGCATCGCACGCAGGGCACTCGCGTGCAAAGCATCGTTTGGCTGCAGCTATACATAGGGCCGGACATGCTGAAAACATGAGCGCGCAGCCGAACTAGCCGCACTAGCCGGGGGACTGCCAGCCGAGTAGCTCAGCCCCAGCAGCCCAGCGTCCCGAGGCACAGCGAGCCCATCCGCCAGAAGGCCGAGTATGAAACCATCTCATGCCACGTTCCTATACTCCCATCATGGTATCCCTGTCGTGAATCTCCCTGTCGTGTCTAAGTCTGTCCACGGGAGGTCAAGACCGGCGACTTGGTGATTCAGGGTGGCGTCTACGACCTGGGAAGCGGCCGCGTGCAGCAGCCTGGGCCGACATATGCAATACGCAATGCGCACATGCACAGGTGATTATGAGACCACGCAGGTCAACTTACCATGAGTCGTACCAAGGTAGTATCGAGGATCGTAGGAGATAGCACGTGTTTGGTGGGTGGGGGGGGGATTAAAGCTGCGCGATGCTCTGCGTGCTTGGCTTGTGAAGTGACTCGGTGAGGTTCCTGGGTGAGAGCCCGGCGCAGTCCAAGCTGCTGAAGTCGCCCATGGCTGCCGCTCCTTCTCTGAAAGATAAGCTCCTGGGCGCTTAGGGCTCGCGGACAGGGCCCATATGGGCGTTAGCCTTGCAATTTTTTTCGAGCTCCCACCTGCGGAGCTCTGAATCTCTAGAAATTTTAACCCTCACGCAGATTTTAAGAACTCTTCCTGCATCTTTCGCGCATCTTCGCGCGTTCTTGCTCTGCGTTGCGGCCCTCTAACCGGAGCCGACGCGATGGCCAGGCGATGCCCTAAGCTCGGCGCTGCACAAGGCTGCACGCTGGCATACGCCGGCATCCTAATTCAAACCCTGCTTGTACACCAGTTTTTCCCTTAACAAGAGGAGCGCGAATCGCGCCAGAGGGCCCAGTGTGCACCCGTGGTGCCCTGGAGTCGAAACCTGAGTCTGGCAGCAAGAGCGAAAGGAAACCTTTGGGATGCTCTGCAGGCAAATCACATTTACACCGTTATACTGGTAGCATTGGTAGAGAGTGTCTTGACGTAGACGCAGCGGCACGTGCGCACGTGCACGCCGCCTCACCCTCGAGCCTTTGCTTCCTCGCTCCTGTCCGCAGTCCAACCCTCTCCAGTTGCTCAGCTGCAGTCAGCTTTGCTAGGCCTTCCTTCACCATGTCAGGGGTCTCGTCCCATCGTGCTACTTTACTGTAAACAAGCTTGCGCATCCCATGATCTTTTGACCGTCTCTGTTGCCGCAACTCTGCAAAACCGAGGTCGTCCAAGGTCCCCGCCATGTCTTTCTTTGGGCAGATCACGGAGGCCCTGACCCTTTGCAGCCAGCCGCCGGTGCGGCCCGTCCGCACGGCGGCAGACCCGCCGATGGAGCCAAAGGAAGCCCTCGGCCTTCTCAAGGCGCATGTTTAGCATAAGAAGCGCCGAGGCAGCACACGGAATGACAAGAGAACATGTAACATACAATTCAATGCAACATGCCCGTTTTCGAGCCGCAGGACGGCAACCGGCGCTTCGTGGACGGGCGACCGCTGGCCAACCGCACAAACGCCGTGGTCCGCAAAGAGCTGGTGGAGCTTGGCCAGGCTCCCCACACGGCCATCATCGGCTGCGCCGACTCGCGTGCACCGCTGGAGACCATCTTTGACACGATGCCAGGCACGGTTGCTTTGGGCTTTCTGTTCAGAGTCTCTACAGTCTCCTTTCGCGTCGGGCGGGCTTCGCTTGTGAGTGCTGCTCCTATAGGTGACATCTTCGTGCTGCGCAACGCCGGCAACACCTGCACTCACGCGGAGGGGAGCATGATCGGCAGCCTCGAGTTCTGCACTGGCAAGTTGGGAAGCCGACTGGTGCTGGTCCTTGGCCACACGAAGTGCGGCGCCGTCTATGGTGCGACGAAGACTTTCCTGGATGCCCAGGGAGTTCCCAACAAGAAGGCTGGCTCCGCGCTGCAGGGGCTTCTGCAGGACCTTGGAGCGGTTGCCCAGCAAGCCCAGCAAGAAATGGGCCCCGATGCTGACGCAGATGCCATCGCGGCCCATGCCGTGAGGGTCAACGTGTTCCACACCATCAACTTTCTGCTCCAGTTCAGTGAGTCGATTCGTGAGGGCGTGAGCAGCGGCCAGATCCAGATCCATGGTGGCATCTATCACCTTGAGACAGGCAGCGTGGAGTTCTTGGGCGAAAGCCCTCAACAGTCCGAGCTGCTCCAGTCCAGCCTGCCCGTCCCGCCTTCTATGGTGGGCAGCAGCGAGGCTGACCGCGGCACGCACGGGGTGCGCACCGGGGCCGACGTCGCCATCAAGTCCGAGCAAGCGCTGAAGCTGCTCATGGAGGGCAACCAGCGCTTCGCCGCAGGTGCGCCCACGGCGGTGACCACGTCCAAGGACATGCGCCGGGCCTTGGTGAAGTGCGGCCAGGCCCCCCACAGCGCCATCGTAGGCTGCGCGGACTCGCGAGTCCCTGTGGACACAGTTTTCGATTCGATGCCTGGAGACCTCTTTGTGCTGCGCAATGCTGGCAACACCTGCACACATGCCGAGGGTAGCATCGTCGGCAGCCTGGAGTTCTGCACTGGCAAACTGGGTACTCAACTGGTCTTGGTGCTTGGGCACACACAGTGCGGTGCCGTGGCTGGAGCTACACAAACCTACCTGTCCGGTGCCACGTCCAAAGCACCAGGCAGTGCTCTCGAAGGCCTCTTGCAGGGCCTGGCCGGGGTCGCGCAGAAGGCCAGCGAGGACTTAGGTCCGAAAGCCGAGGAGGCGGCCGTTGTGGCCCATGCCGTGAAGGTGAACGTCTTCAACTCCGTGAACTTCCTCCTGAAGTTCTCTGAGCCTCTGCGAGAGCTGGTGCGCAAAGGAGACTTGGACATCCAGGGTGGCATCTACCACCTCGAGACGGGCAAGGTGGAGTTTCTTGGCCGTTCTCCTCAGCATGCAGAGCTGCTCTCCTCCAAGCGCTCCGTGCCGCCTTCCATCACCACCGGTGCTGTCCGCACCTCCAAGAGCGGCCCCGTGCTACCATCGGATGCCCTGGCCATGCTCCGGGACGGCAACGAGCGCTTCGCTGTGGGCGCCCCCGTCGCTGGCAAGGTGTACCAGAGCATGCGCGAGGCCCTGGCCACTGTCGGCCAGGCACCCCACACGGCAGTGGTCGGCTGCGCCGACTCGCGCGTGCCCCTTGAGACCGTCTTCGATGCGCTGCCTGGGGACCTCTTCGTGCTGCGCAACGCTGGAAACACCTGCACCCATGCGGAGGGGAGCCTGCTCGGCAGCTTGGAGTTCTGCACGGGCGCGCTGAACACCCGCCTGATCTTCGTTCTGGGACACACGAACTGCGGTGCGATCAAGGGTGCCACCAGTGCGTTCCTGCAGTCCAAGAAGCAGGGTGGGGCGAAGGACCTGCAGGGTAAGTTGGAGGGCCTTAGAAGAGGGGTGCGATTGTAGGATATTGTAGGGATGTTTTGGATTGTTTTGGTGCGTGGTAAAACAGTTCGCTGATGTTCGCTGCGAGCGGAATGGTTCATGCTCGCTGGTGCGGTTTGCAAGGGCGGAAACGCTCTGGATGCGCTGCTCCTGGGCCTCAGCACCGTGGCTGAGACCGCCGCCGCCGAGCTGGGACGCAAGGCGGGGCACGGAGTGGGCTTTACCGTAGCAGTGGAATCACTAATTTTTCACTGCAATCTCCAGCCAACTGGAAGCCTTCATGAGCCCGGCTCAGGCCAGCGAAGATGACATTGCCCGGCATGCTGTGAAGCTGAACGTATTCCACACCATCAACTTCATGCTGCAGCAGCTTGGCATCGCACGCAGGGCACTCGCGTGCAAAGCATCGTTTGGCTGCAGCTATACATAGGGCCGGACATGCTGAAAACATGAGCGCGCAGCCGAACTAGCCGCACTAGCCGGGGGACTGCCAGCCGAGTAGCTCAGCCCCAGCAGCCCAGCGTCCCGAGGCACAGCGAGCCCATCCGCCAGAAGGCCGAGTATGAAACCATCTCATGCCACGTTCCTATACTCCCATCATGGTATCCCTGTCGTGAATCTCCCTGTCGTGTCTAAGTCTGTCCACGGGAGGTCAAGACCGGCGACTTGGTGATTCAGGGTGGCGTCTACGACCTGGGAAGCGGCCGCGTGCAGCAGCCTGGGCCGACATATGCAATACGCAATGCGCACATGCACAGGTGAATATGAGACCACGCAGGTCAACATACCATGAGTCGTACCAAGGTAGTATCGAGGATCGTAGGAGATAGCACGTGTTTGGGCTGGTGGGTGGGGGGGATTGAAGCCGCGCGATGCTCCGCGTGCTTGGCTTGTGAAGTGGCTCGGTGAGGTTCCTGGGTGAGAGCCCGGCGCAGTCCAAGCTGCTGAAGTCGCCCATGGCTGCCGCTCCTTCTCTGAAAGATAAGCTCCTGGGCGCTTAGGGCTCGCGGACAGGGCCCATATGGGCGTTAGCCTTGCAATTTTTTTCGAGCTCCCACCTGCGGAGCTCTGAATCTCTAGAAATTTTAACCCTCACGCAGATTTTAAGAACTCTTCCTGCATCTTTCGCGCATCTTCGCGCGTTCTTGCTCTGCGTTGCGGCCCTCTAACCGGAGCCGACGCGATGGCCAGGCGATGCCCTAAGCTCGGCGCTGCACAAGGCTGCACGCTGGCATACGCCGGCATCCTAATTCAAACCCTGCTTGTACACCAGTTTTTCCCTTAACAAGAGGAGCGCGAATCGCGCCAGAGGGCCCAGTGTGCACCCGTGGTGCCCTGGAGTCGAAACCTGAGTCTGGCAGCAAGAGCGAAAGGAAACCTTTGGGATGCTCTGCAGGCAAATCACATTTACACCGTTATACTGGTAGCATTGGTAGAGAGTGTCTTGACGTAGACGCAGCGGCACGTGCGCACGTGCACGCCGCCTCACCCTCGAGCCTTTGCTTCCTCGCTCCTGTCCGCAGTCCAACCCTCTCCAGTTGCTCAGCTGCAGTCAGCTTTGCTAGGCCTTCCTTCACCATGTCAGGGGTCTCGTCCCATCGTGCTACTTTACTGTAAACAAGCTTGCGCATCCCATGATCTTTTGACCGTCTCTGTTGCCGCAACTCTGCAAAACCGAGGTCGTCCAAGGTCCCCGCCATGTCTTTCTTTGGGCAGATCACGGAGGCCCTGACCCTTTGCAGCCAGCCGCCGGTGCGGCCCGTCCGCACGGCGGCAGACCCGCCGATGGAGCCAAAGGAAGCCCTCGGCCTTCTCAAGGCGCATGTTTAGCATAAGAAGCGCCGAGGCAGCACACGGAATGACAAGAGAACATGTAACATACAATTCAATGCAACATTAACATGCCCGTTTTCGAGCCGCAGGACGGCAACCGGCGCTTCGTGGACGGGCGACCGCTGGCCAACCGCACAAACGCCGTGGTCCGCAAAGAGCTGGTGGAGCTTGGCCAGGCTCCCCACACGGCCATCATCGGCTGCGCCGACTCGCGTGCACCGCTGGAGACCATCTTTGACACGATGCCAGGCACGGTTGCTCCGGTCTTTCTGTTCAGAGTCTCTACAGTCTCTTTTCGCGTCGGGCGGAATTTGCTTGTGAGTGCTGCTCCTATAGGTGACATCTTCGTGCTGCGCAACGCCGGCAACACCTGCACGCACGCGGAGGGGAGCATGATCGGCAGCCTCGAGTTCTGCACCGGCAAGTTGGGAAGCCGACTGGTGCTGGTCCTTGGCCACACGAAGTGCGGTGCCGTCTATGGTGCGACGAAGACTTTCCTGGATGCCCAGGGAGTTCCCAACAAGAAGGCTGGCTCCGCGCTCCAGGGGCTTCTGCAGGACCTTGGAGCGGTTGCCCAGCAAGCCCAGCAAGAAATTGGCCCCGATGCTGACGCAGATGCCATCGCGGCCCATGCCGTGAGGGTCAACGTGTTCCACACCATCAACTTTCTGCTCCAGTTCAGTGAGTCGATTCGTGAGGGCGTGAGCAGCGGCCAGATCCAGATCCATGGTGGCATCTATCACCTTGAGACTGGCAGTGTGGAGTTCTTGGGCGAAAGCCCTCAACAGTCCGAGCTGCTCCTGTCCAGCCTGCCCGTCCCGCCTTCTATGGTGGGCAGCAGCGAGGCTGACCGCGGCACGCATGGGGTGCGCACCGGGGCCGACGTCGCCATCAAGTCTGAGCAAGCGCTGAAGCTGCTCATGGAGGGCAACCAGCGCTTCGCCGCAGGTGCGCCCACGGCGGTGACCACGTCCAAGGACATGCGCCGGGCCTTGGTGAAGTGCGGCCAGGCCCCCCACAGCGCCATCGTAGGCTGCGCGGACTCGCGAGTCCCTGTGGACACAGTTTTCGATTCGATGCCTGGAGACCTCTTTGTGCTGCGCAATGCTGGCAACACCTGCACACATGCCGAGGGTAGCATCGTCGGCAGCCTGGAGTTCTGCACTGGCAAACTGGGTACTCAACTGGTCTTGGTGCTTGGGCACACACAGTGCGGTGCCGTGGCTGGAGCGACACAAACCTACCTGTCCGGTGCCACGTCCAAAGCACCAGGCAGTGCTCTCGAAGGCCTCTTGCAGGGCCTGGCCGGGGTCGCGCAGAAGGCCAGCGAGGACTTAGGTCCGAAAGCCGAGGAGGCGGCCGTTGTGGCCCATGCCGTGAAGGTGAACGTCTTCAACTCCGTGAACTTCCTCCTGAAGTTCTCTGAGCCTCTGCGAGAGCTGGTGCGCAAAGGAGACTTGGACATCCAGGGTGGCATCTACCACCTCGAGACGGGCAAGGTGGAGTTCCTTGGCCGTTCTCCTCAGCATGCAGAGCTGCTCTCCTCCAAGCGCTCCGTGCCGCCTTCCATCACCACCGGTGCTGTCCGCACCTCCAAGAGCGGCCCCGTGCTACCATCGGATGCCCTGGCCATGCTCCGGGACGGCAACGAGCGCTTCGCTGTGGGCGCCCCCGTCGCTGGCAAGGTGTACCAGAGCATGCGCGAGGCCCTGGCCACTGTTGGTCAGGCACCCCACACGGCAGTGGTCGGCTGCGCCGACTCGCGCGTGCCCCTTGAGACCGTCTTCGATGCGCTGCCTGGGGACCTCTTCGTGCTGCGCAACGCTGGAAACACCTGCACCCATGCGGAGGGGAGCCTGCTCGGCAGCTTGGAGTTCTGCACGGGCGCGCTGAACACCCGCCTGATCTTCGTTCTGGGACACACGAACTGCGGTGCGATCAAGGGTGCCACCAGTGCGTTCCTGCAGTCCAAGAAGCAGGGTGGGGCGAAGGACCTGCAGGGTAAGTTGGAGGGCCTTAGAAGAGGGGTGCGATTGTAGGATATTGTAGGGATGTTTTGGATTGTTTTGGTGCGTGGTAAAACAGTTCGCTGATGTTCGCTGCGAGCGGAATGGTTCATGCTCGCTGGTGCGGTTTGCAAGGGCGGAAACGCTCTGGATGCGCTGCTCCTGGGCCTCAGCACCGTGGCTGAGACCGCCGCTGCCGAGCTGGGACGCAAGGCGGGGCACGGAGTGGGCTTTACCGTAGCAGTGGAATCACTAATTTTTCACTGCAATCTCCAGCCAACTGGAAGCCTTCATGAGCCCGGCTCAGGCCAGCGAAGATGACATTGCCCGGCATGCCGTGAAGCTGAACGTATTCCACACCATCAACTTCATGCTGCAGCAGCTTGGCCTCAGAGCAGCCATCGCACGCAGGACATGCTGAAAACATGAGCGCGCAGCCGAACTAGCCGCACTAATCCGAGCTCCTGTTTAATTGGGGGGGGGGGCCCCCCCCCCCCCCCCAATAAGGAAGGCAGGGTTCCGCAATAGTTGGACCATGGCCCCGTATGGTTTCTCTATGAAAAAACAATAAGAACCCAAACGTCCCTGCAGAAGAAAAAGCTTTCCGAAAGGCAGAGTTTCAAAATTTGACAACCCCCCCAAACAAAAATTCTTTAAATGTGGGGGGTTTGGCCCATACGAAATCCATCGTAATGGAAAGTAGTCTTCCGGCGGGAATCCGGGCAAAAAAAATTTCTTTAAATATGGGGGGTTTAATTAAACAGGAGCTCGGATTAGCCGGGACTGCCAGCCGAGTAGCTCAGCCCCAGCAGCCCAGCGTCCCGAGGCACAGCGAGCCCATCCGCCAGAAGGCCGAGTATGAAGCCATCTCATGCCACGTTCCTATACTCGCATCATGGTCTCCCTGTCGTGTCTAAGTCTTCGGGTCCACGGGAGGTCAAGACCGGCGACTTGGTGATTCAGGGTGGTGTCTACGACCTGGGAAGCGGCCGCGTGCAGCAGCCGGGACCAACTTATATATGCAATGCACACATATTGGTACTCGCACAGATGAATATGCACAGATTGCACAAGGGGAGTGGGGGGAATGCTCCGCGTGCTTGGCTTGTGAAGTGGCTCGGTGAGGTTCCTGGGTGAGAGCCCGGCGCAGTCCAAGCTGCTGAAGTCGCCCATGGCTGCCGCTCCTTCTCTGAAAGATAAGCTCCTGGGCGCTTAGGGCTCGCGGACAGGGCCCATATGGGCGTTAGCCTTGCAATTTTTTTCGAGCTCCCACCTGCGGAGCTCTGAATCTCTAGAAATTTTAACCCTCACGCAGATTTTAAGAACTCTTCCTGCATCTTTCGCGCATCTTCGCGCGTTCTTGCTCTGCGTTGCGGCCCTCTAACCGGAGCCGACGCGATGGCCAGGCGATGCCCTAAGCTCGGCGCTGCACAAGGCTGCACGCTGGCATACGCCGGCATCCTAATTCAAACCCTGCTTGTACACCAGTTTTTCCCTTAACAAGAGGAGCGCGAATCGCGCCAGAGGGCCCAGTGTGCACCCGTGGTGCCCTGGAGTCGAAACCTGAGTCTGGCAGCAAGAGCGAAAGGAAACCTTTGGGATGCTCTGCAGGCAAATCACATTTACACCGTTATACTGGTAGCATTGGTAGAGAGTGTCTTGACGTAGACGCAGCGGCACGTGCGCACGTGCACGCCGCCTCACCCTCGAGCCTTTGCTTCCTCGCTCCTGTCCGCAGTCCAACCCTCTCCAGTTGCTCAGCTGCAGCCAGCTTTGCTAGGCCTTCCTTCACCATGTCAGGGGTCTCGTCCCATCGTGCTACTTTACTGTAAACAAGCTTGCGCATCCCATGATCTTTTGACCGTCTCTGTTGCCGCAACTCTGCAAAACCGAGGTCGTCCAAGGTCCCCGCCATGTCTTTCTTTGGGCAGATCACGGAGGCCCTGACCCTTTGCAGCCAGCCGCCGGTGCGGCCCGTCCGCACGGCGGCAGACCCGCCGATGGAGCCCAAGGAAGCCCTCGGCCTTCTCAAGGCGCATGTTTAGCATAAGAAGCGCCGAGGAAGCACACGGAATGACAAGAGAACATGTAATATACAATTCAATGCAACATGCCCGTGTTCGAGCCGCAGGACGGCAACCGGCGCTTCGTGGACGGGCGACCGCTGGCCAACCGCACAAACGCCGTGGTGCGCAAAGAGCTGGTGGAGCTTGGCCAGGCTCCCCACACGGCCATCATCGGCTGTGCCGACTCGCGTGCACCGCTGGAGACCATCTTTGACACGATGCCAGGCACGGTTGCTCCGGTCTTTCTGTTCAGAGTCTCTACAGTCTCTTTTCGCGTCGGGCGGAATTTGCTTGTGAGTGCTGCTCCTATAGGTGACATCTTCGTGCTGCGCAACGCCGGCAACACCTGCACTCACGCGGAGGGGAGCATGATCGGCAGCCTCGAGTTCTGCACTGGCAAGTTGGGAAGCCGACTGGTGCTGGTCCTTGGCCACACGAAGTGCGGTGCCGTCTATGGTGCGACGAAGACTTTCCTGGATGCCCAGGGACTTCCCAACAAGAAGGCTGGCTCCGCGCTCCAGGGGCTTTTGCAGGACCTTGGAGCGGTTGCCCAGCAAGCCCAGCAAGAAATGGGCCCCGATGCTGACGCAGATGCCATCGCGGCCCATGCCGTGAGGGTCAACGTGTTCCACACCATCAACTTTCTGCTCCAGTTCAGTGAGTCGATTCGTGAGGGCGTGAGCAGCGGCCAGATCCAGATCCATGGTGGCATCTATCACCTTGAGACTGGCAGTGTGGAGTTCTTGGGCGAAAGCCCTCAACAGTCCGAGCTGCTCCTGTCCAGCCTGCCCGTCCCGCCTTCTATGGTGGGCAGCAGCGAGGCTGACCGCGGCACGCATGGGGTGCGCACCGGGGCCGACGTCGCCATCAAGTCCGAGCAAGCGCTGAAGCTGCTCATGGAGGGCAACCAGCGCTTCGCCGCAGGTGCGCCCACGGCGGTGACCACGTCCAAGGACATGCGCCGGGCCTTGGTGAAGTGCGGCCAGGCCCCCCACAGCGCCATCGTAGGCTGCGCGGACTCGCGAGTCCCTGTGGACACAGTTTTCGATTCGATGCCTGGAGACCTCTTTGTGCTGCGCAATGCTGGCAACACCTGCACACATGCCGAGGGTAGCATCGTCGGCAGCCTGGAGTTCTGCACTGGCAAACTGGGTACTCAACTGGTCTTGGTGCTTGGGCACACACAGTGCGGTGCCGTGGCTGGAGCGACACAAACCTACCTGTCCGGTGCCACGTCCAAAGCACCAGGCAGTGCTCTCGAAGGCCTCTTGCAGGGCCTGGCCGGGGTCGCGCAGAAGGCCAGCGAGGACTTAGGTCCGAAAGCCGAGGAGGCGGCCGTTGTGGCCCATGCCGTGAAGGTGAACGTCTTCAACTCCGTGAACTTCCTCCTGAAGTTCTCTGAGCCGCTGCGAGAGCTGGTGCGCAAAGGAGACTTGGACATCCAGGGTGGCATCTACCACCTCGAGACGGGCAAGGTGGAGTTCCTTGGCCGTTCTCCTCAGCATGCAGAGCTGCTCTCCTCCAAGCGCTCCGTGCCGCCTTCCATCACCACCGGTGCTGTCCGCACCTCCAAGAGCGGCCCCGTGCTACCATCGGATGCCCTGGCCATGCTCCGGGACGGCAATGAGCGCTTCGCTGTGGGCGCCCCCGTCGCTGGCAAGGTGTACCAGAGCATGCGCGAGGCCCTGGCCACTGTTGGTCAGGCACCCCACACGGCAGTGGTCGGCTGCGCCGACTCGCGCGTGCCCCTTGAGACCGTCTTCGATGCGCTGCCTGGGGACCTCTTCGTGCTGCGCAACGCTGGAAACACCTGCACCCATGCGGAGGGGAGCCTGCTCGGCAGCTTGGAGTTCTGCACGGGCGCGCTGAACACCCGCCTGATCTTCGTTCTGGGACACACGAACTGCGGTGCGATCAAGGGTGCCACCAGTGCGTTCCTGCAGTCCAAGAAGCAGGGTGGGGCGAAGGACCTGCAGGGTAAGTTGGAGGGCCTTAGAAGAGGTGCGATTGTAGGATATTGTAGGGATGTTTTGGATTGTTTTGGTGCGTGGTAAAACAGTTCGCTGATGTTCGCTGCGAGCGGAATGGTTCATGCTCGCTGGTGCGGTTTGCAAGGGCGGAAACGCTCTGGATGCGCTGCTCCTGGGCCTCAGCACCGTGGCTGAGACCGCCGCCGCCGAGCTGGGACGCAAGGCGGGGCACGGAGTGGGCTTTACCGTAGCAGTGGAATCAATAAGTTTTCACTGCAATCTCCAGCCAACTGGAAGCCTTCATGAGCCCGGCTCAGGCCAGCGAAGATGACATTGCCCGGCATGCTGTGAAGCTGAACGTATTCCACACCATCAACTTCATGCTGCAGCAGCTTGGCATCGCACGCAGGGCACTCGCGTGCAAAGCATCGTTTGGCTGCAGCTATACATAGGGCCGGACATGCTGAAAACATGAGCGCGCAGCCGAACTAGCCGCACTAGCCGGGGGACTGCCAGCCGAGTAGCTCAGCCCCAGCAGCCCAGCGTCCCGAGGCACAGCGAGCCCATCCGCCAGAAGGCCGAGTATGAAACCATCTCATGCCACGTTCCTATACTCCCATCATGGTATCCCTGTCGTGAATCTCCCTGTCGTGTCTAAGTCTGTCCACGGGAGGTCAAGACCGGCGACTTGGTGATTCAGGGTGGCGTCTACGACCTGGGAAGCGGCCGCGTGCAGCAGCCTGGGCCGACATATGCAATACGCAATGCGCACATGCACAGGTGAATATGAGACCACGCAGGTCAACATACCATGAGTCGTACCAAGGTAGTATCGAGGATCGTAGGAGATAGCACGTGTTTGGGCTGGTGGGTGGGGGGGATTGAAGCCGCGCGATGCTCCGCGTGCTTGGCTTGTGAAGTGGCTCGGTGAGGTTCCTGGGTGAGAGCCCGGCGCAGTCCAAGCTGCTGAAGTCGCCCATGGCTGCCGCTCCTTCTCTGAAAGATAAGCTCCTGGGCGCTTAGGGCTCGCGGACAGGGCCCATATGGGCGTTAGCCTTGCAATTTTTTTCGAGCTCCCACCTGCGGAGCTCTGAATCTCTAGAAATTTTAACCCTCACGCAGATTTTAAGAACTCTTCCTGCATCTTTCGCGCATCTTCGCGCGTTCTTGCTCTGCGTTGCGGCCCTCTAACCGGAGCCGACGCGATGGCCAGGCGATGCCCTAAGCTCGGCGCTGCACAAGGCTGCACGCTGGCATACGCCGGCATCCTAATTCAAACCCTGCTTGTACACCAGTTTTTCCCTTAACAAGAGGAGCGCGAATCGCGCCAGAGGGCCCAGTGTGCACCCGTGGTGCCCTGGAGTCGAAACCTGAGTCTGGCAGCAAGAGCGAAAGGAAACCTTTGGGATGCTCTGCAGGCAAATCACATTTACACCGTTATACTGGTAGCATTGGTAGAGAGTGTCTTGACGTAGACGCAGCGGCACGTGCGCACGTGCACGCCGCCTCACCCTCGAGCCTTTGCTTCCTCGCTCCTGTCCGCAGTCCAACCCTCTCCAGTTGCTCAGCTGCAGTCAGCTTTGCTAGGCCTTCCTTCACCATGTCAGGGGTCTCGTCCCATCGTGCTACTTTACTGTAAACAAGCTTGCGCATCCCATGATCTTTTGACCGTCTCTGTTGCCGCAACTCTGCAAAACCGAGGTCGTCCAAGGTCCCCGCCATGTCTTTCTTTGGGCAGATCACGGAGGCCCTGACCCTTTGCAGCCAGCCGCCGGTGCGGCCCGTCCGCACGGCGGCAGACCCGCCGATGGAGCCAAAGGAAGCCCTCGGCCTTCTCAAGGCGCATGTTTAGCATAAGAAGCGCCGAGGCAGCACACGGAATGACAAGAGAACATGTAACATACAATTCAATGCAACATGCCCGTTTTCGAGCCGCAGGACGGCAACCGGCGCTTCGTGGACGGGCGACCGCTGGCCAACCGCACAAACGCCGTGGTGCGCAAAGAGCTGGTGGAGCTTGGCCAGGCTCCCCACACGGCCATCATCGGCTGCGCCGACTCGCGTGCACCGCTGGAGACCATCTTTGACACGATGCCAGGCACGGTTGCTCCGGTCTTTCTGTTCAGAGTCTCTACAGTCTCTTTTTGCTTCGGGCGGAATTTGCTTGTGAGTGCTGCTCCTATAGGTGACATCTTCGTGCTGCGCAACGCCGGCAACACCTGCACTCACGCGGAGGGGAGCATGATCGGCAGCCTCGAGTTCTGCACTGGCAAGTTGGGAAGCCGACTGGTGCTGGTCCTTGGCCACACGAAGTGCGGTGCCGTCTATGGTGCGACGAAGACTTTCCTGGATGCCCAGGGAGTTCCCAACAAGAAGGCTGGCTCCGCGCTCCAGGGGCTTCTGCAGGACCTTGGAGCGGTTGCCCAGCAAGCCCAGCAAGAAATTGGCCCCGATGCTGACGCAGATGCCATCGCGGCCCATGCCGTGAGGGTCAACGTGTTCCACACCATCAACTTTCTGCTCCAGTTCAGTGAGTCGATTCGTGAGGGCGTGAGCAGCGGCCAGATCCAGATCCATGGTGGCATCTATCACCTTGAGACTGGCAGTGTGGAGTTCTTGGGCGAAAGCCCTCAACAGTCCGAGCTGCTCCTGTCCAGCCTGCCCGTCCCGCCTTCTATGGTGGGCAGCAGCGAGGCTGACCGCGGCACGCATGGGGTGCGCACCGGGGCCGACGTCGCCATCAAGTCTGAGCAAGCGCTGAAGCTGCTCATGGAGGGCAACCAGCGCTTCGCCGCAGGTGCGCCCACGGCGGTGACCACGTCCAAGGACATGCGCCGGGCCTTGGTGAAGTGCGGCCAGGCCCCCCACAGCGCCATCGTAGGCTGCGCGGACTCGCGAGTGCCTGTGGACACAGTTTTCGATTCGATGCCTGGAGACCTCTTTGTGCTGCGCAATGCTGGCAACACCTGCACACATGCCGAGGGTAGCATCGTCGGCAGCCTGGAGTTCTGCACTGGCAAGCTGGGTACTCAACTGGTCTTGGTGCTTGGGCACACACAGTGCGGTGCCGTGGCTGGAGCGACACAAACCTACTTGTCCGGTGCCACGTCCAAAGCACCAGGCAGTGCTCTCGAAGGCCTCTTGCAGGGCCTGGCCGGGGTCGCGCAGAAGGCCAGCGAGGACTTAGGTCCGAAAGCCGAGGAGGCGGCCGTTGTGGCCCATGCCGTGAAGGTGAACGTCTTCAACTCCGTGAACTTCCTCCTGAAGTTCTCTGAGCCTCTGCGAGAGCTGGTGCGCAAAGGAGACTTGGACATCCAGGGTGGCATCTACCACCTCGAGACGGGCAAGGTGGAGTTCCTTGGCCGTTCTCCTCAGCATGCAGAGCTGCTCTCCTCCAAGCGCTCCGTGCCGCCTTCCATCACCACCGGTGCTGTCCGCACCTCCAAGAGCGGCCCCGTGCTACCATCGGATGCCCTGGCCATGCTCCGGGACGGCAACGAGCGCTTCGCTGTGGGCGCCCCCGTCGCTGGCAAGGTGTACCAGAGCATGCGCGAGGCCCTGGCCACTGTTGGTCAGGCACCCCACACGGCAGTGGTCGGCTGCGCCGACTCGCGCGTGCCCCTTGAGACCGTCTTCGATGCGCTGCCTGGGGACCTCTTCGTGCTGCGCAACGCTGGAAACACCTGCACCCATGCGGAGGGGAGCCTGCTCGGCAGCTTGGAGTTCTGCACGGGCGCGCTGAACACCCGCCTGATCTTCGTTCTGGGACACACGAACTGCGGTGCGATCAAGGGTGCCACCAGTGCGTTCCTGCAGTCCAAGACCAAGCAGTCTGGTGCGGCGACGGACTCGTGGGCAGGGGAGGGGATTCGTGCACGGGGAAAGAGTGTATGACAGTCTGCGCTGATGTGGTCTGCAGGATGGCCACGCTTTGGATGCACTTCTTCTGGGCCTCAGTTCTGTGGCTGCAAAAGCTGCTACCGAGCTGGGACGCAAGGCACGGCACCGGGCTCATGCACTGGAGCGGCGGTTTCGGCTGTCTATGTGCGACTCTTGCGCTCATTTGCCTTCGATCACACGTGTTGCGTCCAGAGAACTTTGCGACATCTCAGAAAGCTTCTCGTGAGAGAGGGAGAGAGAAAGCTTCAGCTTGCTTGAGGGCTTGGGGCTGGCAGCGAGTGGAATCTAAGCCCCCAGTTGATGGTGGCCCCGAAGGGCAGGGACACAGGACCCGCTTTGGGTGCCTTTTGTCTGTCTGCGGCCGCGCTCCTTTGGAGCCGGGAGGGTGTGGGGGTATGTGGGGGGCAGTCGGGGGCAGGAAGCTGCCCCTGATTCTGTGCCGCTCAAGTATGGGTGCCGGCCAACTGGAAGCCCGTGTCAGGCCAGCGAAGACGACATTGCCAAGCATGCCGTGAAGCTGAACGTGTTCCACACCATCAACTTCATGCTGCAGCAACCTGGCCTCAGTGCTCTCGCATGTGTCGCAAGTCATGCTAAGCAGGCTTAAGCCTCTACACCCTGAACCCTGAACCCTAAACCCTAGACCCTGAACGCTAAACCCTTGTAAGCTGCAAGTGCACACCGCGGCCCAGCTGTCCCGAGGCACAGCGAGCCCATTCGCCAGAAGGCCGAGCCGAAACCCACCTGACAAACCACGTGCGCCGTCTCTCTCTCTCTCTTTCATTCTTTCATTCTCTCTCTCTCTTTCATTCTTTCATTCTCTCAATCTTTCATTCTTTCATCCTTTTATTCTTTCATTCTTTCATTCTCTCATTCTTTCATTCTTTCATCCTCTCATTCTCTCATTCTCTCATTCTCTCATTCTTTCATTCTCTCTCTCTTTCATTCTTTCATTCTCTCAATCTTTCATTCTTTCATCCTTTTATTCTTTCATTCTTTCAGTCTCTCATTCTTTCATTCTTTCATCCTCTCATTCTCTCATTCTCTCATTCTCTAATTCTCTCATTCTCTCTCTCTTTCATTCTTTCATTCTCTCAATCTTTCATTCTTTCATCCTTTTATTCTTTCATTCTTTCATTCTCTCATTCTTTCATTCTTTCATCCTCTCATTCTCTCATTCTCTCATTCTCTCATTCTTTCATTCTCTCTCTCTTTCATTCTTTCATTCTTTCATTCTCTCAATCTTTCATTCTTTCATCCTTTTATTCTTTCATTCTTTCATTCTCTCATTCTTTCATTCTTTCATCCTCTCATTCTCTCATTCTCTCATCCTCTCATCCTCTCATCCTCTCATTCTCTCATTCTCTCATTCTCTCATTCTCTCATTCTCTCATTCTCTCATTCTCTCATTCTCTCATTCTCTCATGCTCTCATTCTCTCATTCTCTCATGCTCTCATCCTCTCATCCTCTCATCCTCTCATTCTCTCATTCTCTCATTCTCTCATTCTCTCATTCTCTCATTCTCTCATTCTCTCATTCTCTCATTCTCTCATTCTCTCATTCTCTCATTCTCTCATCCTCTCATTCTCTCATTCTCTCATTCTCTCATTCTCTCATTCTCTCATTCTCTCATTCTCTCATTCTCTCATTCTCTCATTCTCTCATTCTCTCATCCTCTCATCCTCTCATCCTCTCATCATTCTCTCATTCTCTCATTCTCTCATTCTCTCATTCTCTCATTCTCTCATTCTCTCATTCTCTCATTCTCTCATTCTCTCATTCTCTCATGCTCTCATCCTCTCATCCTCTCATCATTCTCTCATTCTCTCATTCTCTCATTCTCTCATTCTCTCATTCTCTCATTCTCTCATTCTCTCATTCTCTCATTCTCTCATCCTCTCATCCTCTCATTCTCTCATTCTCTCATTCTCTCATTCTCTCATTCTCTCATTCTCTCATTCTCTCATTCTCTCATTCTCTCATCTCTCATCCTCTCATCCTCTCATCCTCTCATTCTCTCATTCTCTCATTCTCTCATTCTCTCATTCTCTCATTCTCTCATTCTCTCATTCTCTCATTCTCTCATTCTCTCATTCTCTCATTCTCTCATTCTCTCATCCTCTCATCCTCTCATCCTCTCATTCTCTCATTCTCTCATTCTCTCATTCTCTCATTCTCTCATTCTCTCATTCTCTCATTCTCTCATTCTCTCATTCTCTCATTCTCTCATTCTCTCATTCTCTCATTCTCTCATTCTCTCTCTCTCTCTCTGCCTTTTTCTCTGCCAAGATCCGAGCACAGTGATGGTGACGTGACTGTGCGTGAGGTTAAGACTGGCGACTTGGTGATTCAGGGTGGCGTCTACGACCTGGGAAGTGGCCGTGTGCAGCAGCTGGGACCAAAATTTATGCAGTCCGATGCATGGTGTCACCAGGAATCTCCGCTTGTGACTCGTTGAGGTTCCTGGGTGAGAGCCCAGCGCAGTCCAAGCTGCTGAAGTCGCCCGCTGCTGCTGCTCCCACCTTGAAAGACAAGCTCCTGGGAGCTTGAGGCTCGCGGACGAGGCCTTGCATTTTTTCGGGCTCCCACCTGCGGAGCTCTGAATTTTAATTTGCAGATGCAAGAACTCTTCCAGCAGCTTTTGCGTTCTTGCTCTGCGTTAGAGCACATTACGGCTCTTTAGCACAGTGCCCAGGCGATGCCCTAAGCTTGGCGTGCACAAGGCTGCACGCTGGCATTCGCTGGCATACTAATTCGACCAGTTTTCCCTCTCGGTGTAGACAATGTCGGTGCGTGATCGCACGTGAAGAGGGCCTACATGTTGTGCCCGTAGCCGGTCAACGGACCTTGCACCCTGTCACCACTTGAGTTTGGCATCGGCGAAAAGTTTCAGCTGTGCTCGGTATGGCGAGCCCAAGCCCATCCAAATCCATCCGAGTCCCGTGGGTTTGTTTCCGCGAAAGCCGTCTGAAGGTCTTGGGCAACTTTTGTTCAATGCTCATTCGAGCGCAATGCGAAACGTGCCAAGCTCCAAAATTCTGCTTCACGACGGGAGCGCAGCAAGATTGCGCTGCAGATCGCGCTGTGGTAGCCCTGTGCCCAGCCGGAAATTCAATTGCTTCCGCAGGAAACTTTAAGGAACATTTCGCGAGTTTCAGAGAAGATGCGCATGTAGAATGCTACGTTGCCGCACGTGATGCTGTGGTGGTTGTTGTTCAAGCATTGAGATCCGATAAACTTATCCTGGCATTCGCTAGAGACATGACCCTCACAGAGGTGAAGCGCAGCATGCGCAGCGTGAGACGAGGGGTACCGTTTCAGCTCTGATTGCCGTCTCGAACTCGAGTTTTCGCCACAGGCTTGGGACACACCCCTCGGGTTGGGGGGTTGAGCGGGCGTCGCTGTAAGGTTTCGGCTTCCGGTCAAAATTCTTGCCGGTCGGCGTTCTGCAGGGGAAAGCTGGATCAGACGACCAGCCTGACCGACTGCCCAAAGGCAGCACCCACGTGTGTGCACCCTGAACACTGAAACGCTGATCCTACTGACTACTTCCCAAAGCGTGTTGACTCTTGCATTGGTTTGGCGGTATGCACGGCAATTTGCTGCATTTGTTGTCTCCCCCTCAATCTCTCTCTCAAGACTGCGCTGAGTGCGTGGGGCCCAGAAACTGTGAAGGCATGTCTGATCTGGCAAAGACCATCAGCATCGCTAAACATGAAGGGTGCTGAAAGTGCCATTGCTCTCTTAGAAGACAGCATCGCCTCTGCCTTGGAAATCGACCAGGCCGGGGCATACTGCGAGACTTGCATCCCATGCCTGTGCCGGAGCCAGACAGGTCCAGTGCACTGCAGCCCTCAAAGCCTGCAGAAGAGCCGCCGCCTGGCAGTCCGCCGTGGTCCTCTTGGCTACTCTCCGTGCCTTAGCTGAAAGGTTTTGACCCACCCGTAGTTGCTGTGGTTGCTTTGCAAAGAGTTGCACACTGAGTTGTGCTTGCAGCATCTTGCAGTCTTCCGGTCTACTGGGATGACACCAGTCTCTTCGAGTCTTTCCCACAATGTATAGAAAGGGTGGCCATTCCGCCACAGGTGCGAGCCAGGGCACTCCCGATGTGATCACGTGCGGTGGAGCCCTCAGCTGCCTCGGCAAGGCTGGGCAGTGGCAAGAGGCCATCGGGCTCCTGGAGCAGATGAAGACATGGAAGGTCGAGTCCAACCTGATTATCGCGAATGCTATTCTGGGCGCCTGTGAGAAGGGAAGTTCCTGGATGCAAGCCTTGAGCCATCTGTCGAAAATGGCAGGAGACCTCTTGCCTCCTGACGCAGTTTCCTTCAATGCTGTGATCAACGAGAAGGAGAAGCCATGGCCATGGGCGTTGTCTCTTCTGGCGGACATGATGCGGATGCTACGCCCAGATATCATTGCGTTCAATGCTGCCATTGGTGCATGTCGGCAGTCAGGAGGCTGGGAGCTGGCACTGCACTTAATGGAAGAGATACGGGCGAATCATCTGCTTCCTGACACGTTCACGCACGGTGCTGTTACAACATCCCTTGAGCGCGAAACCCAATGGGAGAGGGCGCTTGCACTTGCCTCCGACATGGAGCGCCTCCAGGTGCAGATATCCCTCTTTGCGAGCTGCGGTTTGATATCTGCATGCGGGCAAGCATCGATCTGGACCTGTACCCTAAGTATCTTGAAGCGGCTCTGCGAGGAGAGGACAAGGCTCAACGAGGTTTTCTACGGTGCTGCCATCCGTGCTTGCGGGCAGGGTGGCCAGTGGCAGTATGCCATGCATCTGCTGCACGGTATGAGAGACGAATCCATCACGGCTAACCAGATCATCTACAATGCTGCTGTCGGCGTCTTTGACGGAACTGGGCATTGGGCGAAAGCGCTAGGATTACTGGATGATATGTGCGCATGCTCGATATCGCCGAACGAGACCACCCACAACGCGCTCATGATCGTGTGCGGAGGTGCAAGTCAGTGGCCTTACGCTGTCCAGCTGTTGCGGCAGCTGCCCGCCAACTCCTTGGAGGCCGGCTTGCCATCCTGGTCGGCCGCTATGCTAGCCTGCGACGCCGGCTCTCAGTGGCAACTTGCGGTGCAGCTCCTGGCAGCTGCACCACTCACAAGCCAGTCGGGTCCTGCGGCGTGGAGGAGAGCGTTCGGAATCTGCATGAATGCTTGTGACCACTGCCACAAGTGGGACATGGTTGTGGCGCTTCTGGAGAACCTGAACCAAGCTGCCATTACTCCGGATACGGCACATTTTCAACTGGCCATTGGTGCCTGCAGTAGGCAGGCAAGCTGGCAGATGGCATCACTACTGCTAGCCTCGGCAGTAGACCAATGGGTCGAATGTAGCATTGCTTCATGCACCACGGCGATTGCGGCATGCAGAGATTCAGCAGCATGGCAAGCTGCATTGGCATGTTTGGCCAGCTTGCCGAAACATGGCTTGGCCGCAGACTCGACAATCTACGCTGCCGCAATCAGCGTTGTGGGTGATGCCAGCATGTGGCAGTGGTCGTTAACTTTGTTGGAGGATGTCCTTGAGCAAGCACGTGATGGTGACGGTGCATCTCATGCTGCTTGTGCTGCCATCTCTGCTTGCGACAGGGGCAGCCAGTGGCAGATGGCATTGCGCATTTTCGATCGCCTATCTTCCGAAGCTGCCAGCATGGAAGTGTCCTGCCGAACTTCAGAGTTGCATGTCAAGTCTCTTTGAACAAGATCTAAACTCCTAGCCCCTGATGGGCAGATCAGCTCGCCATCAGATTTGCATCCTGAAGGCTGATTCCAAGCCTTGAGGTCTCTCTTGCCACCGCCGGGATCACTGCCTGCCGGTCCGGCAGGACGGAGACATGATAGGGGATCTGTTTCATTGGGTTGGCTTCAACACCGCTGCATGTCTGCCTTTGCTGCGGTAAGGATGTGATGAATTAGTCGCAGGTTTGTGTCTGCACGTCACTGTGCAGGAAGTGGCAGCATGCGCTGGCGCTGTTTCACGACATGCCCGAACCGACCCTCGTGCCATGTCTTGGATCAGAACCCTTGTGCTATGGCACCTTCTTGCGATTCGCACGGCTTTACGTGGCAACGTCGCTTTCATGTCAAGCCTTGTGGCCAAAGTTCCGCTAACAAAATCTGCACCGCCTATGCCCTTCATCAAGTGAAGGGCAAGAGCGAAGTTTCCGTGGCCAGCAATTTCCTAGTTCCCGCTGTGCAGAAACAGTCCTGGTGCGACTACAGTCATCAGAGGCCAGTAAGTTCACTGGCTCACGAGGGGCTTTGAATTCCGTGGATATCCGACTTGTCCGACTTGTCTATGAGGAGTGCAAGTGTCTTCCGAGGTGTGCTGCAACGCGGCGCTCAGCGCTTGTGCCGATGAAGGCTTGTGGAGCCATGGCCGGTGATTCGGGCATCAGCCAGGTGTTCGCCGTCAGTTAAAACATCGCAAGACACGGCAAGACAAGTCCTTGCAGTCGATCTCAGGCAGATGGCAAGCCTCCTGCTGCTGCGTTTGCAAGCCTCGACTATCTTGCCGGATGAGGTCACCTCTGGGACTGTGATTAGTTCGTGCGAGCTCTGGCCTTGAAACCCAGTTGAGGGGGCTATCATCCTTGCTTCCACTCTGATGTCCGGTCTTTTCACTTATCTGGGTGTTATAGGGGAGACGGTAAGGTCACTGGCGAGTAGATTTGTGTAAGGGATGGACATCAATCTGTGCTTGGGTAGATTTTGTTTTGCAGAACGGATCGGTCACCTGCTTCTGGGGCGAACTCTGTTTGCAGCCCCCCGCCCCTCCTCCACCTCCTGCAGAACGGCAGGGACAACAGAGAACCATAACCGTAGAACCAAAGCTGCAAGAGACAGCGCAGAAGAATGTAAGCAGTGGTTGTATCTTTTGGCTGGCAAATTCGGGGACACACAGAAAGCGATAGCCAGGAAATTCACGTCCTTAGACCCTTTAATCTCGCAAGTAGCTTTACCGTAGCTCCTATCATTCTACTCGCCGCCAAGGAACGGGATACGCAGTGGCAGTTCGCCTTGCACATTTTCTGGACGGGCATGGATGGCATGCTCAGCGAGCAATGCTGCGACATCCTGAATCGGGTACTGTCTGCCTCGATGAAGTGGGAGCTTTGTTTGGCACTTACCGAAGCGATGCTCTCGCACAGGCTGGGCGCTTTGTCTGTTGCTTAAATGCTGGCTGACGCTGAGCCATCCTAAACCCTAAGCCCTAAGCCCTAAACCCTAAACCCGAAACCCTAATCCCGGAATACTGACAGCGGCAGGTTAGTGGGCAATGGTATGCACGTCGCATCCACTGCAAGCGCCTTGCAGAAATCTGTTGGATCCTTGGCTGCCTACTGCGGCCTTTTGTGGGCTCTCCAAGCTCGAGGTCGCTAACGGAACATCCCCCCAAAAAAGGCTGCTTGTTTAGGGTTCAGGATTCAGGGTTTAGGGTTTAGGGTAGAGGGTTTAAGGTTTAGGGTTTAAGGTATCCCCCCGCCCACATTCTGCCAAGATGACTGGACCTTTGGTGTTCAGGAAAGGCAGTCTGAGTACGAAGTAAGATCACCCCCTCAGCCCAAAGAAGAAAAAAATAGAAGGAAAGGCAACAAAGGCAAAAAAGGTAAACCCTAAACCCTAAACCCTAAACCCTAAACCCTAAACCCTAAACCCTCTCTTTCTTATATATATTTAAACCTTCGGCCGATTTCGGCCACGGCCGAAAAGCCACGAACACTGGTCCCCCCAGTGTTCGGCCGATTTCGGCCTGGCCGAAAAGCCACGAACACTGGTCCCCCCAGTGTTCGGGCGATTTCGGCCTGGCCGAAAAGCCACGAACACTGGTCCCCCCAGTGTTCGGCCGATTTCGGCCACGGCCGAAAAGCCACGAACACTGGTCCCCCCAGTGTTCGGCCGATTTCGGCCACGGCCGAAAAGCCACGACCACTGGTCCCCCCAGTGTTCGGCCGATTTCGGCCTGGCCGAAAAGCCACGAACACTGGTCCCCCCAGTGTTCGGCCGATTTCGGCCTGGCCGAAAAGCCACGAACACTGGTCCCCCCAGTGTTCGGGCGATTTCGGCCTGGCCGAAAAGCCACGAACACTGGTCCCCCCAGTGTTCGGCCGATTTCGGCCTGGCCGAAAAGCCACGAACACTGGTCCCCCCAGTGTTCGGCCGATTTCGGCCCCTCCCCCCCCTCCCCCCCTTCCCCCCTTCAAGGCCTCAGGGCCTGTGTTTAGGGTTTCAGGGCCTCAGGGCCTGTGTTTAGGGTTTCAGGGGCCAGCGTTTAGGGTTCAAGGCCTCAGGGCCTGTGTTTAGGGTTTCAGGGCCTCAGGGCCTCTAAACAGGGTTTCAGGGCCCAGCGTTTAGGGTTTCAAGGCCTCAGGGCCTGTGTTTAGGGTTTCAGGGCCTCAGGGCTTGTGTTTAGGGTTTCAGGGCCCAGCGTTTAGGGTTTCAAGGCCTCAGGGCCTGTGTTTAGGGTTTCAGGGCCTCAGGGCCTGTGTTTAGGGTTTCAGGGCCCAGGGTTTAGGGTTTCAAGGCCTCAGGGGGCCTGTGTTTAAGGGTTTCAGGGCCCAGCGTTTAGGGTTTCAAGGCCTCAGGGCCTGTGTTTAGGGTTTCAGGGCCTCAGGGCTTGTGTTTAGGGTTTCAGGGCCCAGCTGTGTTTAGGGTTTCAGGGCCTCAGGGCCTTTGTTTAGGGTTTCAGGGCCCAGCGTTTAGGGTTTCAAGGCCTCAGGGCCTGTGTTTAGGGTTTCAGGGCCTCAGGGCCTGTGTTTAGGGTTCCAGGGCCCAGCGTTTAGGGTTTCAAGGCTTCAGGGCCTGTGTTTAGGGTTTCAGGGCCTCAGGGCCCGTGTTTAGGGTTTCAGGGCCCAGCGTTTAGGGTTTCAAGGCCTCAAAGCCTGTGTTTAGGGTTTCAGGCCTTCAGGGCTTGTTTTTATGGTTTCAGGGCCCAGCGTTTAGGGTTTCAAGGCCTCAGGGCCTGTGTTTAGGGTTTCAGGGCCTCAGGGCCTGTGTTTAGGGTTTCAGGGCCCAGCGTTTAAGGTTTCAAGGCCTCAGGGCCTGTGTTTAGGGTTTCAGGGCCTCAGGGCTTGTGTTTAGGGTTTCAGGGCCCAGCGTTTAGGGTTTCAAGGCCTCAGGGCCTGTGTTTAGGGTTTCAGGGCCTCAGGGCTTGTGTTTAGGGTTTCAGGGCCCTCAGGGCCTGTTGTTTTAGGTTCAGGGCCCAAGCGTTTTAGGGTTTCCAGGGCTTCAAGGGCCTGTGTTGAGGTTTCACGTGCCTCAGGCCTGGTTTAGTTCAGTCCCAGCGTTTAGGGTTTCAAGGCCTCAAAGCCTGTGTTAGGGTTTCAGGGCCTCAGGGCCTGTGTTTAGGGTTTCAGGGCCCAGCGTTTAGGGTTTCAAGGCCTCAAAGCCTGTGTTTAGGGTTTCAGGGCCTCAGGGCTTGTTTTTATGGTTTCAGGGCCCAGCGTTTAGGGTTTCAAGGCCTCAGGGCCTCAGGGCCTGTGTTTAGGGTTTTCAGGGCCCAGCGTTCAGGGTTTCAAGGCTTCAAAGCCTGTGTTTAGGGTTTCAGAGCCTCAGGGCCTGTGTTTAGGGTTTCAGGGCCCAGCGTTTAGGGTTTCAAGGCTTCAGGGCCTGTGTTTAGGGTTTCAGGGCCTCAGGGCCTGTGTTTAGGGTTTCAGGGCCCAGCGTTTAGGTTTTCAAGGCTTCAGGGCCTGTGTTTAGGGTTTCAGGCCTCAGGCCTGTGTTTAGTTTTTCAGGGCCCAGCGTTTAGGTGTTCAAGCCTCAGTGCTGTGTTTAGGGTTTTCAGGGCCTCAGGGCCTGTGTTTAGGGTTTCAGGGCCCAGCGTTTAGGGTTTCAAGGCCTCAGGGCTTGTGTTTGGGGTTTCAGGGCCTCAGGGCCTGTGTTTCGGGTTTCAGGGCCCAGCGTTTAGGGTTTCAAGGCCTCAGGGCCTGTGTTTAGCGTTTCAGGGCCTCAGGGCCTGTGTTTAGGGTTTCAGGGCCCAGCGTTTAGGGTTTCAAGGGCTCAGGGCCTGTGTTTAGGGTTTCGGGGCCTCAGGGCCTGTGTTTAGGGTTTCAGGGCCCAGCGTTTAGGGTTTCAAGGCCTGTGTTTAGGGTTTCAGGGCCTCAGGGCCTGTGTTTAGGGTTTCAGGGCCCAGCGTTTAGGGTTTCAAGGCTTCAGGGCCTGTGTTCAGGGTTTCAGGGCCTCAGGGCCTGTGTTTAGGGTTTCAGGGCCCAGCGTTTAGGGTTTCAAGGCCTCAGGGCCTGTGTTAGGGTTTCAAGGCCTCAGGGCCTGTGTTTAGGGTTCAGGGCCCAGCGTTTAGGGTTTCAAGGCCTCAGGGCCTGTGTTTAGGGTTTCAGGGCCTCAGGGCCTGTGTTTAGGGTTCCAGGGCCCAGCGTTTAGGGTTTCAAGGCCTCAGGGCCTGTGTTAGGGTTTCAGGGCCTCAGGGCCTGTGTTTAGGGTTTCAGGGCCCAGCGTTTAGGGTTTCAAGGCCTCAAAGCCTGTGTTTAGGGTTTCAAGGCCTCAGGGCCTGTGTTTAGGGTTTCAGGGCCCAGCGTTTAGGGTTTTTCAGCCTCAGGCCTGTGTTTCGGGTTTTCCGGGCCCAGCGTTTACAGGGTTTCAAGTCCTCAAGGGCCTGTGTTTTAGGGTGTTTAGGGTTTCAGGGCCTCAGGGCCTGTGTTTAGGGTTTCAGGGCCCAGCGTTTAGGGTTTCAAGGCCTCAGGGCCTGTGATTAGGGTTTCAAGGCCTCAGGGCCTGTGTTTAGGGTTTCACGGCCCAGCGTTTAGGGTTTCAAGGCCTCAGGGCCTGTGTTTAGGGTTTCAGGGTCTCAGGGCCTGTGTTTAGGGTTCAGGGCCCAGCGTTTAGGGTTTCAAGGCTTCAGGGCCTGTGTTTAGGGTTTCAGGGCCTCAGGGCCTGTGTTTAGGGTTTCAGGGCCCAGCGTTTAGGGTTTCCAGGCCTCAGGGCCTGTGTTTAGGGTTTCAGGGCCTCAGGGCCTGTGTTTAGGGTTTCAGGGCCCAGCGTTTAGGGTTTCAAGGCCTCAGGGCCTGTGTTTAGGGTTTCAGGGCCTCAGAACCTGTGTTTAGGGTTTCAGGGTCCAGCGTTTAGGGTTTCAGGGCTTCAGGGCCTGTGTTTAGGGTTTCAGGGCCTGTTTCAGCCTGTGTTTCGGGTTTCCGGGCCTCAGGGCCTGCGTTTAGAGTTTCAGGGCCCAGCGTTTAGGGTTTCAAGGCCTCAGGGCCTGCAGGGCCTGTGTTTAGGTTTCAGGGCCCAGCGTTTAGGGTTTCAAGGCCTCAAGGCTTAAACCCTAGGGTTTAGGGCTTAAACCCTAGGGTTTAGGGCTTAAACCGGCTTAGGGCTTAAACCATCTGGAGTAAAATGAAAACCGTGTATTTTCTTAATGTTATGGGATTCTTTGGGCGGGTGGGTTTTTTTCCCTAAGCCTGGAATGAATGCTAGAACAATGACCCTCTAGACCCTAAACCCTAAACCCTAAACCCTAAACCCTAAACCCTAAACCCTAAACCCTAAACCCTAACCATAAACCCTAAACCCTAAACCCTAAACCCTAAACCCTAAACCCTAAACCCTAAACCCTAAACCCTAAACCCTAAACCCTAAACCCTAAACCCTAAACCCTAAACCCCCTCGCAGATTCAAGGCGTGGGCGCAGCGCAGCAGCTCCTCCGCCAAGCGCGCTGGAGATGGATCCTTTGGATCAGTTTGCGGTTTTTTTCAGGGTTTTTAGGGTTTTTAGGGTTTTTAGGGTTTTTAGGGTTTTTAGGGTTTTTAGGGTTTTTAGGGTTTTTAGGGCAAGCCCCAGACCGGTGCTGTGTAGCTGTAGCCGGAGGTTAGGGTTTAGGGTTTAGGGTTTAGGGTTTAGGGTTTGGGGTTTAGGGTTTAGGGTTTAGGGTTTAGGGTTAGGGTTTAGGGTTTAGGGTTTAGGGTTTAGGTTTAGGGTTTAGGGTTTAGGGTTTAGGGTTTAGGGTTTAGGGTTTAGGGTTTAGGGTTTAGGGTTTAGGGTTTAGGGTTTAGGGTTTAGGGTTTAGGGTTTAGGGTTTAGGGTTTAGGGTTTATAGAAATTGTATAGGGTTTGGGTCCCAATAACGTTTTGAGCGAAAGTTTTGACCGAAACGTTTTGACCGAAACTCTTTTTTTTGGAACCACATTTTTATTTTGGAAGGGTGGGGGGCTGGGTGGCAGGGGCGAGCCTCGGGAGGCCCGGGGCCTGATTTGGGGCCTTGGGGCTTTGTGGCTTCTTGGCATCCTTTGGCCTCCTGGAGCTTGTTGGGGCCTTCTGGGCCTCCCACGGCCTTGTTTTGGAGCTGTTTTGGGGTGGAGGGGCTGGAGGGAGGGGCTGGAGGGGCTGGAGGGGGCTGGAGCCGCATTTTTGGCAGAGTGCTTCTTTTTGGCTATTACTGGGCGCCTGTCTAAGGGGGAAGTGCTGCTCGTTTTCTGGCAGAGCACTGAAATCCTAGAGGGGAAGCGCTGCAGTTTTTTTTGGCAGGGCGTTGGAATAGTGCCACAGGGTGCAGTCGGGGACATGGCTCAGTGGCGTTCGCATGAACTTGTTGCACGTCTATCGTTGGAGCCAATATGGACTTGTGGTTTCCAATCCACGACAGCGCGCTGGAACCCGGATTGATGTGAGCAGAACACATGCAGGTTTTGCTTTTTGTTGCTCCTCACCGCGCGTTCGCTAGGAGAGTCTTTGTCTCGACGTCCATTGTGGGAACGTTGTCTATGAACGGTTGGTCTCTGTATTCGGGATTGGTTCCCACTATGTACATGTCGGAAACGGCTTCTCCATAGTACTTTTCCAGTATGAACTTGTACACGTTGAGCTGGAGGCGGTAATGCCACAGGGTGCAGTCGGGGACATGGCTCAGTGGCGTTCGCATGAACTTGTTGCAAGCCTGACGTTGGAGCCGATGTGGACTTGTGCGTTTCCAATCCACGATGATTACGCTGCTGTCTGGCCTTTTAGCCACGTAGTCGATGCTGCCAGCCAGGTCTTCGCTGTCCGCGTAGACTTGCCACGCCTTCGTGTTGGCTTGCAACCGCAGAAATTGTGACAGGAGGAACACTTCGGTGGTTTTTGCGGGAACTGAGCCACCATTGAGCAGGCACTGGAATTGTGCGTGCATCCATGTGCCTTCTTTTGCTCCATCCTGTCGTGCTTTCTCCCACTTGTGTATGATTTCTTCCCGAGAGAGACCGAGTTCTGTCAGAGCACATGCTATATCTGCATCCTTATCTGGATTGCTCGCGTGGTTTGCACGCAGTTTGAAGGCCAGACGACATACTTTGAGTTCGTCTCGTTCTGGTCGCTGGAGCTCCGCGAGAAGTTCTTTGCCGCCGGGTATCTTCTGCAGCTTATTCTTCTGGCTTTCTGAAAGCGTGGTCTTCAGGTAGCCGGGGCGAGGCCAGTTGCAGCTTTCTCGCGTTGAACTGATGACCTGTTCTTCGCAGAACGGTGCGGTGAATTTGTGAATCAATTGGGTGACTGATTTGGACACACGCTTTCCTTTCCAGAAGTATACGTAGTCGTCTGCTTGGAAGCTGATATTTCTGTCTCGCGGGTGCGTGTTTAATTCTGCCAGGGTGTCCTTCACGAAGTGGTCGGGAATTGTGGCTGGTAGTTCGCGAGGACGTTCTGGAAAGGAGGATAGGTGTTCGTGACTCGCAATTTGCTTGGGCAGCACGATGTCCACTCCCAGCAGCTTCAGATTCACCGGATTTTGCTGCATGGTGTCCAGCTTCCGTAGCTTTGTGGCTGGGGATGGCGCGCAATCTTCGATGGGTGGCATGGCTGTTCTTCTCTACGATAACGCGATGGGTTTCAAACTTGTCTTGATCCAGGAGACGCTGTCAGCATGAAGCGATGCACACATATGCCTGCGCAGATTCCTTTCTGACATTCTTTTGTTATGGTTTCAAAAAAAGACACGAGCTTGTTTTGGACCGTGCTGTTGGAGTCTTTGTCGTTGTGCTACAGTTAGTTCAATATCTTGCAAGGTGAAACTGGCCCTCAGTTTCGAGCCGTCGCGACTTTTTCGAAGGCCTTGGGCAGATCGGTGCATGGCACTCGATAAGCTTTCCAGCTGGGGTTTGCAGCCCAGTCGCCTGCGATTCTCTTTAATCGGTTTCCTGCTGGGATTTGCAGCCGAATCGCCTGGGATTCTCCTTAATAGGATGGGGATAAGCTTTCCAGCTACGATTTGCAGCCAAGTCACCTGGGATTCTCCTTCGCCGGTTGGCGATATTTTCGTTCACTGGGAATTTGCAGCCCAGTCGCCTGGGATTTTCCTTAATTGATTGGTGACAAGCTTTCCAGCTGGCATTTGCAGCCGATTGCAGCCAGTCGCCTGGATTCTCTAGGAATGGCTGGCGACACTGGAAAGCTAGGATTTGCAGCCGAGTCGCCTGGGATTCTCCTTAATTGGTTGGCGATAAGCTTTCCAGCTGGGGTTTGTCTCACTCCAGCGTCACATTCCGGATCGCTTGGCCGCTATCGATTCTTCTTTCCATATCGATCTATAGTTGCTCTCATGTTGCCTTTGCCGTAACTCTGTTTCTCCTGACTCGGTTTTTCAGATCACACAGCAATTGATTTTGCATCATTGAATAGCTATGTTTCCCTACTCAACAGTTCGTTCTATAGTCTCTATCTCTATTATCTTAATCCTGGCAACGCAGAGATGTCAGCAGGAGGCGCGGCGTAACCAGCAAGGCGTCGTGTCTGACGCAGAAGAGGCGGGCTTTTCCAAAGTAAGCAAGAACAAAGTGGCAAGCTGGCTAAACATGGGTGGCGCGTGTGATTCTTGCAGGAACCCCGGCAGCGGGACAACTCTTGGGCACGAGACCTTCTGGCCAGGGCCCAACCACCATTGGCAGAGGTTGTCGTGGACGACAACTTCTTGGAGGAGCTCCTCAAGACGGAAGAGTTGCGGAAAGCCTTCGTGGAGGAGACGCCGATGCAGAAGTTCAAGCGGAAGCTCAGCAGCATCAGCGACAGCAGCCTGACGCTCATCATGCAGCGCACCTTGGACCTGGCATCCCTGCAGCAGCAATTGAAGGCCAGGTGCACAAAGACCATGCGCCGGAAACTGCGCAGGTTGGTGCGTGTGGCCAAGCTGTCTGGCCACTTCTGGGCCTTCAACGCGCAGCAAAGGGAGGAGCTCCTGAGCGATGCCAACGTCTATGTCTTTGAAACACCGCAAGGGGAGCCTGAAGAGCTGCCTGAGCGCCCAGCCGCTGGCCACCCACGCCCGGGACCAGTGGGGCCTGCTGCCGTCCGCCGTCGCTCCAAACAAGCTCCGCGCCAGGAGAAGACAAGCAGCCAGCTCTCACGTGACCTAGATGCTGACATTTGGACAGCTTCATGGGGCACGCGCAGGATGAAGCCCTGGTCGCTGCTGCGGTGGGCAACGCAGCATAGTTGCCAGCCGGAGTGGCTACAACTCCTATTTAGCAAGGTTGAGAAGGGCCACTGCTACTACAGCAGCCAGCCGCTCAGCGCAAGCCGACTTGTTGCGGAGCTACAGGCGCGCTGCACTTTGCAAGACTTTTACAGTCGCCTTCCGTTGCTCGCGAGCCCATCCACGCCCTACGATCTTGGTGACGTAGCTGACGTAGCTGTCCACATTGTCGAAGACATCAAAATGCCCAAAGGCGATGTCCTCACTGATGGTTTTGCAGAGATCAGTTTGAAACTTGCCCGCAAGCTGAACCTTGTATCTGGCGAGCAGGTTAGACAAGGAGTCTACGATGCTTATCAATTTCGTGGGCTAGTGAGGGACGCAGCCACTGGAGATGCTTTGATCGTCAAGGGAATGTTCGTGGTCATTGAGACAGATGAGGATGTCATGTACATCCGTAAGTCGTGCGAGAAGATCCGCTTCAAACCTTCTGCCGAATTTTCATCTTTTTCTCAAGAGCTGGACGTTGTGCAGTCCACTGCCGCCCCGCAAGGCCAGCCCAAACTGAATGCACAGCTTTGCGCGGCACTTGGGATGCGAGCTTGCCTCCTTCCCACACGGGCGGCCAGGCTGAGCGCAATGGCAGACCTGCGCGACTTCTGCAGAAGTCGCAGGGCAGACACTGCAGACGCCATGGAGGCCGAAAGCTGGGGCTTTGCACGCGGGCCTCCTGAACACAGCCCCGGCATCGCCATGACGGCACTTGGGACGCCTGCTTCGCGCCCTGTGTCCAGCAACCCAACACGCAACTTCATTCCGCAGCACCGCGTGAAGTTGACGTATGTTGCCCACATCGAGGATCCCACTCCCCTGGAGCATCTTCACACAACTGTGGACCTTCCGCAGCCCTGGTCGCTGCCCGAGTTAGGGACAAAGGAAGCGCTTCTGCGCGGTGGCCGGCGCTTTCTTGCTGCAGCGCGCAGGCAGCAAAAGAAGCCGCAGTTGCGTCTTCGAGGTGTGGGTGGCGCTTGCTTTGCTTTGCCAGACTTATGGGGCAAGCTAGAAGAGCCACAGCAATGCCACATTATCCGTGAAGGCCGCTGCATTACTGGCCCCGTGGCGGTGTGGCGCAACCCAGTGATGCTCCCGTCAGATATCGAAATCTGGGAGAGCGTGCCACTGCCCGACGACGCCACTCTTGTTCCCAACAACTGCATCATATGCAGTTGCAAGGGCATGGGTGTGCTCGCCCTGGCTGGCGGCGACTACGATGGGGACGTGGTGTTCTTTTCCTCGGACAGGGACTTGCTGGAGTTTGTCGCCAACGCGCCAGATGGCCTCCACCACCGCAGCTGGCAGTCTGGACTGCGCGGCGGCCGATAAGCTCTGGGCGGCTGCCGCTGGCAGTTCAACTGGGGTACGTGGCGCACAAGGCCATGGGTGCAAAGAACGGGGTGTAAGTTTGTGTTGGTTGCCACAAGTACAATGCTTTAATTAGAGCCAGTGCTGCGTGTCAAGGAACAGGAAGTTCGGAATACAGCCATGTAACAAAACATTATGCTTCGGGAATCTTTGCGACAGAACGTTACGTGTGCACTTCCGCATGAGATTCGTGTGTTTTTTCCGCTCGCGCGTGCTGTAATAATCGTGTAATGCTGCAGGCCTACGACGCGCCGAAGAAAAACTCAGCAGCAGCGGGCGCCCAAACTGACCGGACATGTTGCAAGGCAAGTCCAGTTAACTTTTAGGTGTTCCACGGTTTGGGCACGGGTGCGCTTTTTTGTGCTTAGGCGGTGGACGCTCTGAGTCGTGACCTGCTCCAGGGCGCCGGCCTAGGGCTGCGTGCGATGCGTTTCACTAAACATTTAGGCAGCAAGCTCTTGGAGCCCCGTTGCCACTTGAACGCAAGGCGTCCCTATGAAGGGCGAAGCTTTGCGAAAAAGCGTCTCAACCTGGGCAAAATTTTCTTGCCCTTTCGGGAGCTGCGGCTCAGCAAGGAGGCAGCGCCGTGCATCAGGAAAGCACTGCTGTCAGGGCGAGATTTTCAGGCGGAGTGCAAGCCTACAGGTGCAAGCACCGTGGCGCGAAGCGTTGTGCTTTTCCTCGCCTTCAAAATCCGTGATTTTTGGCAGTCTTTCCATGCCAGATCACTTGATGGGCTGAAGGCCAGCCTGAAGTCAGACAGGCGCAGCAGAGCTGTGTCTCTGGCCGGTGGACTTTTCTTCAAGCCGTTGCCGTAGCTGCATGCCAAAAAAGAATGCTTCAATCTTGAGCGAGCGCATTGATGCACGGTCACAAGCTGCAGAAACGGTTTGCTTGTGTTTACTCACGGGCTCTTTCAAAGGCTTTTTACATTTCAGTCTCCCTGGCTCAGATTTTGTAGACGTCTGGGCGTGTTTGCTGTGGTCGTCTTTTGGTTTGGTGTGTGTGTGTGTGTGTGTGTGTGTCTGCGTGGGCACGTGTTTTGGTCGAGCTGGTGTCCTTCCCTCGGCCCCGTTCCCTCCTGGGACGGCGGGGCTGGTTCTGGGCAGAAGCATCTCCCGCTTCAAAAACGTCAACAAGGCCGGCCGAGGGGTCCAAAAGGAGCACGTGCCCACCCTGCAGAAAAGAATCAATGTAAAGACAGAACGGTTCCGCTCCCGGCGTAAGAGAAAACGTGCCATACCCCAGGGCTGCCCTTTGCGGAGGACCCAGGAGCTGGCGCACGCAGGGGCCCCTTGGGCTGATGAGCACCCTCCATGCACATGCCAGCCCCTGGTGATGCAGACGAAATGGCATAGCAAGTGGGTTCATGTCTAAGAAAGTTTTTTCAGCGCTGGAATCTGGCCTTTCTCTCTCCTTCTGGTTGTTTCTCGGTGTTTGTCGAGAGGGGAAATGCTGGGGGGTGAGGGAGGAGGCGACGAGGAGGGGATGAGGGGATGAGGAGGGGAGGAGGGGAGGAGAAGGAGGAGGGGAGGGGAGGAGGGGAGAAAGGGGGAGGAGAGGAAGGGGGGAGGGGAGAGGCAAGTTGAACATGGCTCAGGGTTAGGGTCGAGAAATTGTATAGGGTTTGGGTCACAATAACGTTTTGAGCGAAACGTTTTGAGCGAAAGTTTTTTTTGGAGCCAGCTTTTTTTTTTCTGGGCGCCTGTTCTTGGGCTAGGAAGCCTTTTGGGTCTCCCCGTGCCTAATTTGGGCCTATAGGGCCCTCCTGGGGCCCTTGCGGGTTTTGGGGTCTCCCGCCCCTGTTGTGGGGCTCGGTGCCCTGTTTCGGGGCCTCCCAGCTCCTGGCCTCCGGGGCCTTTTGGGGTTTAAGTAAATTGAGCACTTGGTCTCCCAGACGCTTTTGATTAATTTACTTAAACTCTGTTTCAGAATGATACCACATACAATTTCTATTTATTTTGTCTTGGGTGTTTACTGTTTAGGGTTTAGGGTTTAGGGTTTAGGGTTTATGGATTAGGGGTTTAGGGTTGAGGGATTCAGGTTCAGGGTTTAGGGTTCAGAGTTGAGGGTTCAGGGGTTCAACCCCCCCACCTTCCTCCCAATGCCCCAGACCCCAGCCGCTGCTTTGGTCGCCGACTGGATAGAAAAGTGTTCGGAAGTGCATCTGAACCTGCAAACTTTAAAGGAAAGAGTGGGCCACCGCTGACGAAAGCGCTGTGCTCCAGTACGACCTGCGGCGCTTGCCCGACAGGCCAGATGCAGCTTTCCAAGATTTTCCAAGTAGGGGTTGTCAAAAAGCAGGTTCCCCTTCACGCACAGAATCCATTGTTACTTCTTACATAGAAGGATCCCCCAAATTGCACCCTAACTTAAAACAGCCACCAAGTCACGTTTGATTACTGTAAGGAGACTTTGCACTTCCATGTGGGAAAAAGATTGACCACTGAGCAGGCCAGGATACCCCAGTATCCTGCATGCGCGGCCTGGCATTGTCGCAGTGGCGAAGCCGCCGGACGCAAGCACCGAAGCAACTCGGCGGCAGCTGCGGTGAAAGCCGATGTCGAGCATTGTGGAAGCATTGATGCTGTTCACTGTGTTTGGGTGGCAGGAGATCCTCAAGCAGTTGGCAGACAGAGTCCTTCAATCTTCGGGCTCACGGAACCTGGCCCAGTTCACGACTTGCTCGCGCCTGGACCTCCCTACGTCCGGTGTACTGGTCATCGCCCATGGAAGGGCCGGATCCCCTGCTGCAAATTGGCTTCAAGCACAATTCTCCAGCCGGCTTGTGCGGAAGAGGTATCTCTGCCTTTGTGTGGGCCAATCCCTCGGGGAGGTGGGGACCAAGGGTGAGATCACCACTCCGCTCCTCCTCAAGCGTGGTGAGAGTGTGTCTGGACTAGCGGTACCCTCTGACTCCGACCAGGGTCTTGAGGCGCAAACTTTGTATGAAGTCTTGGCCAGGTACCCGATACCCAGGTCCATACGATCCCTGGCCCAAGACGGGAATGAGCCTTGTGAGATTGTTTATCTTGCTGTGCGTCCTCGCACTGGCCGCGTGCATCAGATCCGCGCCCATTTCGCCAGTATCGGCCGTCCCCTGCTAGGGGATCGCAAGTACTCCGAAGCACCAGGCGCGCTTGGCTCTCCTCTTTCTCCCAAAGAGGCAGAAACGGTTTTCGGGTTACGTAGGCTTTTCTTGCACTGCCAAAAGATGGAGATGCAAGATCTCGACGGAGAGTCTTTTTCGGCAGAGATGCCGCTGGCGGAGGACTTGCAGCAGGTCCTTCGACGACTGTCGCAGGCAGAAAAGGAATTGCGGGACAAGGCAAGGGCCATGTCAAGCTGTACGAAGAGCGTGAGTAGTGTTTTTCATTGGAGCATGGCGAATCATGATATTTTATATTTTTCAAGACATAGTGAGGACAGATACTTTGGTCTTTCTTT